GAAATTTAAGTTTATAGGCTATAAAATTGAATTAAACTTTATTTGTTAATTAATCATTTAACTGTTTATATCTTTTTAATTAATAACATTTATAATAATTATTTTATACTAATATTAACAATACTATTATATTAAGATAACAAAAATTTTAAATATAAATAAAATTTACAGTAATAGCGAATTTTAGTTATCTTTGTTTAATCATATTTCTGGCTATGTCTCGAATATATTTTTTTTTTAATATATAATAATTCATAATTTATTTATAAAGTAAGAAAATGTTAAGAAAATTTAAATTTCAGATATAATATTAGTTTTCGTTAACTACAAATAAATAAACTATATTTCATTATTATTTACATGAAGAATCGTGTTAGGTAAATAAATGGCCTATAAGATCATAGATTAATGATTTAATTTATTACTTAAATTTACTTTTTCAATAAAAAATATCGAAACATATAATTAGAATTTAAAATCAAATTCTTAATATGATTCTGATAACTATAATTGCAGCTGATTTTTAATTTTATTCTTTAAATTGTAATTACTTTTTCCAGCAAAATAAAGAAATTTTTCTAACATTTTAATGTTAATAAATCGATTTGGATGATTATTCACACATGTGATCGTACTTTTTATAAAATTATAACAATTGTATAGTTTGGCGATTTGATAACAAAAAAAAAAAAAAAAAAAAAAAATTAGGCAAAAAACATTTGTTTTGAATACTTGTATACATATTATAATTTAAAAAATTTTATGTAAATAGATTTAATAAGATTTTTTTATGATGTAAGTTTACAACCAAATAGTTACGTTAAACTTGAAAAACAATTTTCTAAATGAATTTTTAAAAGTCGTTGTACGTGATAAAAATTTTTGTTAAATTCATTTGAAATTTTTGAAGAATCCTTAATTTAGAGATTTGATATTGTACATAATTTTATAAATAATACTTTATGTAAAATTTTCTAGAGCTGTTCCTTATTTTTTAACGTTTCACTCTATCACAAAATTGCATTTATTTTAAAAAATTTTTTTTAAAAAAGTTCAATCTTTATATTATTCGTATAGTGTTATTATACATCTTTAACAACCGCCACAATGCCAGTAATGCAATTTCAATTTATTCTTTATTTCTATTATAGTATATAAATAGTTATAAAGTTTCGATTCGACACTTGAGAGTGTGTAAAATGAAATATTGGCAATTATATATTTTGTTTAAATATATTATTAAAATAAAATTTAATTGGTTGTAAGATATAATAAATTGCATTAATTTTGCGTATAGTCAAAAAATGTATCAATTCCACTATTCTCTTATGTATATGCGCATGCAAATGTGCATACACACCCACATGGATACACAAGAGAATAATTACTTAACTAAATTAAATACTTAACCAAACATTCTTGTGCGAGAAATTCTTGTTCTCTCGCGTGTTGTTTTCATATGAAGTGTAAGTACAAACACATTACTTTTAACCTACTTTAGCTAGCTTTGATTGAAATTTACTATAGCTATATAATCTATTTGAGTTCTGATGTCTAAAAAATCTCCACCAAAAGTCTTAAATTTGAAATGTCTTTGTAGTAATGGATGTAAAGAAGTATTTTGGCCATTAAAATTGATTAATGATTATGAAATTATGAAGGCACCAGTTAGACTGGATATAGTACCAATGCTTCATCTAATCATTATTCATCTAATCAGATCATCAAAACTATAATAAATTTTTGTATACAATTCGACGTCTACATATATGCTTGGAATGTCATTATTTTACACGATTGAAGTCCGTTCCCATTATTTATAATCATTTATCATAATAATTCAAAGCACAAATCGTCAATAGTTTGGATTTATACAGAGTATTGTATTATCATCGTCAAATATTATTATGTGGCTTAAAAATTCCGACACTAAAACATAACAAATTTTCTCTCGTCGAATGGCGAATAAAACAATATGCAATTTGTTAATTACAAAAAATAATGGAAATATATAATATATTATAAATATAAAATGCCATGGAAATTTCTACAACATGCTTTGTCTATTTTAGATTATTAAAAATAAGCTCTGTGGATCGAATTTGATTTGAAAACGAATTATATCTTTTTCAGTAAATTTATATTATATAGTAATAATAATATTATGGTAATCCTTTCTTATCGATATCATTTCATGCAATATAAATATAATTATTATGCTAAATAATTTTTTTTCAAATAACTTTTTCAGCATACTCGATATGTAACTTATTTATACTGCAATCAGACGCTCGCTCGTATCGTTTGATAATCTGAAAATTAATTAACATAAACATAACAATCATATTAACTATCTATTCCGATAATTAAATAATTGAATGTCATCATTATTAATATTATTATTATTAATATTATAAATATGTAAGTGATCATTTTCAATATAGAATAATATTTTTAATAATAGAATAATTTTACATATAAGAAAAATCATTAATTAGTTTGTAGTTAAAATGACTAATAGTAAAAATTTAGTATTTAATATGCCTCATACAATAATTATATTGATAAATAGACGTACATAAAATTGTTTATTATTTTATAATCTAATACGTTATATTTATCAATCTAATAGACTGATATCCGAATTAAAATATTTAATTCCAATAATTAATAATATAAAAATTAGATTATTAATAATTAAATTTGTTTTAAATGTGTAATTTTTAAATCGCTGTATTTCTACATGAAAATAAAGATAATAAAACATGGTTATATATAATTGTTATATATAAATATAAATATGGTTAAAATGTATGTAATTGACGTATTATTCCGATTAAATGAAATTATAGATTAAACTCCTAATTTTTTATTTCATATTATTTACTGATTATAGATAAAATTTTAATTAGGATCGTGAATAAAGTTTTATAAAAAATATTAAGTTTTAATTATGTACTCGTTATACTTAAAAAAATCAATATATATATATATATATATATATATATATATATATATATATAGAGAGAGAGAGAGAGAGAGAGAGAGAGAGAGAGAGCGAGAGAGAGAGGGGGGGGGAGTAAAATGCGAAGAGATATATTGATTAAAAAATTTTAAATATAAAATAAGGGTAAGATTAATACCTTCACTCTTGAAAAATTAAGCATTTATTTATTTTACATAAATAAAAAAAAAACAATTTACTTTTAAAGACTAGAGAAGCTATTACAGAATAATTATTTGACTTGTACGTGTACTTTTATTATTTTATTTTTTCTTTCAAATGATTTTTGAATTTTATATTTAAAAAAAAAGTTTCATTCTTGATTACACTTAATTTTATCCAAAAAATCGTATGGATTTTTTTGTTTATTACATTATATCTTTAATGATGTGAACATTTTCAACTAGCCAAATCTCGTAAAATTTTGGTACATTTTTTGGTACAATTAATTATTAGTCATACTTTAAAAAAAATTCATTGACTCATGTAGTGAGCGAAAGCTATTAATTACAAATCATTGAGTAATAACCTTTTTCAAGAATATGCACACGATCAATTTTATAATAATTTTATAATAATTATCAAGTTCTATAGGTAAAATTCAGTGTTGAGATAAAACAGCTAATTATAATGTCAGAAATATAATGGGGAAGATAAAACTAAATATGTTATGAATAGTAACAATGACAAAAAAAAACACAAATTATCGAGCGAATGATTATTTCGTAGATAAATAATAATGGAAAGTTTAATCGGAGGATCTAGAATATAATAATCAGATTTGTTATATCATAAGCCAGTTAGTTATTCGTCTTTCTTCGTTTTTGTCGTTCACTATTATTATAAAAATTATCGAGCTTATGTTAATTATATTTGGATCCGATTGATAAATTTATTAGGAAGACACTAATGAGTTATGAGTGAAAAAAGCTGAGAACTCGTTCACGCTATCACAAAAATTTTGCCACCGTGCTTTGGGTCATTTCTAGAGCTCAAATAGTACGTTATTATAAAAGAAAAAAGATATTTTTGAATATCTTTGATGATTTTCAGTTTAGCTAAGTATATTATTTTTAGTTTCAAATACTTCCTACTTGGTAGTGAAACAATTATTTTAAAATTCTTTCTCCTACAACCATAGTAAATTTTACGTCTTGTATAAAAAATTGTATGTTCGTTAAATTCTATGTATATTGCAATAAAATTATTCAAAAACAATATTCTCTCTGTTAAAAATATGTTTACATCGATTTGTAATGATTTTTAAAAAAAAGAAGATTTTAGTATATAAGCCGTAATTGAAAATCCAGCTTTCGTGCTACTTTGCCGTGATACATAGGTAAATAAATCTTTAATTCAGGATATCTCATTACACATAATAAATATTCATTGCCATACTTAACATTAAGTATAATAATCATACAAATATTGATATATTAACAAATGTATAATTTAAAAAATTCATTAAATTAATAAATGTTAGTATAACCAAAATACCAATTTAAAAATTATAAGTAATTTTAGTACGTACGACTAAGTTCTTGTATAATATATTTATATAAATAATTGTTATTGCGCAACAAAATTAGGGGATTTATTCGAGCAAGCAAACTTGTTTTCTTACTCAAAATATAGTGATTATTTCAAATTCATCAAAGAGATTAATGTAAGAGAAAATTTTATTTAGTTGCAATTACTTTTATTATGATAAAAATATAAAAAATAATTTATAAATTAAACTATTAGAGGAATAAGTATTTAGATTAATATTAATATTAAACTTTCTTGAAGACTTTATTTATAAAATCAAATTTAATGAATTTATGTACAATTTTAGATAAAATATAATTTACTATTAAAATAAATATGACAAATTTCATATTTCCGATGCTACATCTTAATGTTCTACAATTTAAATTAACTAAGAACTTTTACTATAATTCTAATATGCTATTGAAGAAAATTTTTTATTTAACCAATGCTAATGTTAGTTATTCACACGCTCAATTTATTTAATTTACCATATAATAATATCAATACATAACATATTCTTATTATTGACTATGATTTTCAAATCTACTTTTTCGGATTCCACGGTTCGATCTTTGGCTTTACAGTACTATAAGGAACATAAGAAAGTTCAGTTCCACTATAATTTGGAGTATGTTTTATCATCCATTTATATTTTTTTCTGCTCGGATCTTGATGGGGTAATAAGTCCGTCTTGTAATGAAGCCATCCATGCCATTCGGGCGGCACTTGTGAAGCATCATAATTCAAAGAAAGTTGTTCATTATAAACGACCCATCGATTTCGGCCTGCACAATAAATAGAGTATCTTAGTTACACGCACGTTTTGATAATATTTTATGATTAATTTTATCAATATCGCTTAAAGTCGGCAAGCATAAATAACTTACAAACAAAGTTATTATTATTTTCATAGTATTTATTTCCGAATTCATCCTGGCCAACTAATTTCCCAAGTTTGATCGCATCCATTCTAAAATAGAGAAAAATATATTTGTTAAAAATATCTTTATTTCATAATATGACTTAAGTATAACCTAAGATTCTTTATGATAGTTATTAAAGTAATGAGGCAATTTTCGTTGGACAATGAATTATAAAATACCAACCTATGTAATACTTTGATCGAATTGATAATACCACCATTTTGTTTTATTGCCTTTATAAAGTCAGAAATAGTGTGTCCCAAAATTCTTTCCATATCGAAGTCTCTTTAAACTTTTGAGATTTCACTTACACCGCCGCAGAAAGAAACTGCAGCCTAGTGGTTTTAAATTATTTATTTTACACCAGATGGCACTGCATCTCTTAGTCTCCCAGTTTTATCAATATTTCATTTTCATTTTCGTAATATATCATTAGGATGAAGGATTATAATATGCAAATACATGGATCCGAGTGAAAGTATTAAAAACCATCAAATATCATAGAAGATTCATTTCCATATATGACAAGTGTTTGTATGTACCATGAATTATTGGGTGTTCGCTAGATGTCAGCACGTGATGGATTCTAAAGTGGCTGGTTGTAGACAAAATGCGAGCGCAGGCACAAATGCACAGAATTATCCTACCAGAAATATAGACTAAGAACCATCTTTTGCACGACTAAGGTACTATTTATATGCGATTATATGATAACTTGTATATTTTGCATTTGACTTTCAACACTTTTCAACGGTCGACAAATGCGTTGCCTCGTATTGCAATGCATTCGATATATATATATATATATATATATATATATGCACAGAGGCTCACGCACACGCACGCAAGCACGCACGCATATGCATAAACATATTCGTAAAGTCGGTAAACGCACGTTTATGTGAAAGGTAAAGCAAATTTTACGTGAGGTGATGCATTATTCGAATATGCCAGAATTTCGGAAATTTCCCATTGTATAAAGGAGCGCGTGGTTAGTCATGTTACGTCAGGAATAAATCACGCCACAAAAGGAAGATTTACGATAAAGATGACCATTTTCATAAATGCGATTATGTAAACTAACATAAAGCAGTCTGACGGTGTCTATTGAACTTTAACTATACAAACTAAAATTGATAATATCCGGAAATTTCCGGATACTCTAAAGTGCTGCATTACTCAGAATGCACAATGCAACTCGTTAGTCTTACAATGATTAAAAATGCAGGCTACCTTAGTCAGAAATATAACTGACATAGCGTACAGAGAAAAATGCGAATCACCTGCTCCCGTTAATTCTATTAGATATTTTTTGTCTATTTATTAATTGCAAGTCCGTTTGCATATCACTAAATTATATCTTATATCGATTAGAACTTAGTGCATTGCACATTTCGATTGATTATCGATTATTCCGTTCTTTCATTATTCAAAATTCGTGTTATGCTCTTACCGATGTCCATAATGTCGGACGCACATATACAAAAGGCAACTAACTAAATTAAGTTCACTTAACCTGCGACGATCATCATGCAAATTGCAAAGTAGCATGCACGAAAGAACTTCGATAGAATCAATTTTATTATGGGACTGCAACGATAAGAAAAAGTCAATCGTGATAATTGTGCATTTGTTAAGTAGTGAATGTTGGACGTTTGTATTCAAATAATTTACCTCCAGAGTAATAAAGGTATATGAATTAAGGCTTAAGATGATCTTTCATAATTATTTAAATAAGATATTAGAAAGAAAAATAAATTGTTTATTCAATCGTTACGTTTTATTAGACGTATTATCAATTACATAAATATTATAATTACATTAATAATTAACATTTTTCTATTAAAATACTTTATACTTCCATAAAAATTCAATCACCTTCATTCGCATTCACAGGAGTAAAAATTATTCGACATTGAAATGTAAAATTAAAAATTTTCATTCAAGAACGATTGTTTGTATTATTACAAAAACAAAAACAAAAAAAAAGGTAATAAAATATGATTAATTGTTTGTGATGATAATGTTCCTACTTTCAAACATTAAAGTAAAAGGAAAAAAAAAATGTATAATAATATTAATAATTGATTTGGAACCGACAATAGAAATTCGTTTTCGATATAACGAATTAATTTTTTTATTTACATTAAATAATTGCAAATCAAATAAAGTTATTAAATTAAAGTGTATTTAATTTTATTTACTGATAAAATAAGTATTGAAAATATAAAATACAGCAACGTTGATCCCCAATTTTATATTAATTTTTTATTTCTAAATGAACTATATTTCATTTAAAACATTTTCTCCCTCCGCTCGTCGATCTTATAAATAAAATATCGAAAGTTTATACACATACAGTTATTATGAATAAATATGTTAAAAGAAAGTTTATTATTTGTATATTAAGTTGCTACGTGCTCTTTCTAATGAATACATTTTATTAAGATCGAAAATCTTAAATTACGCAATTTGTACTCATTACATTGTTACAAGTGATTTATAAAATCAATCTAAGGTTTGTATTTTTTTTTTGTTTTTTTGTTTTTTTTGTTGTTGTTGTATTTTTAATGATTTACAACAATTTAAAGACACGCAAGACATATGTATTTCTGAAACTCCATTTAGATAATCCCATAAGCTTAATAAACCTATAAATATTATTCGATGCTATTTTTATGATTCTTTATTAATTATAGTCATAATTTATTTTAACTGATTCTCTCGATATACAGAATTAACCATATCACAATGAGCTGGACATAAGTTTTTATGCCAAAATATCGTTTTCTAATTTCATCGATTAGTTCTTCAACATAGCTTTAAAAATCGTCAAGTTTCACTTTCTGTACTATAAATAAACTTAAATTATTGGCAAAAAATTGAAAAATCCTTACATTACATTCTGTTAATCGTCATTATTTGATAAGATATACAGTTCGTTCCTTAAATATATAATATACAATTTATTTATTCCAATAATCTAATATAATTAATACTAGATGTTTTATTTCTATAATAATTGTTTAAAATTTAATTCGAATATTATATATATATATATATATATATATATATATATATATATATATATATGTATATGAATTTAGTTGTAAGAAAAATTTATTTGTAAATAATATTGAAGGCTTTGAAAAACGATTGCAGTTTTACGTTATAATTATATGTGAGCATATTATTTTTCAAATTTATTTATCGAATATTCAATATCGCACTTCACCATACAGTTTATTATATGATGAGATATATAGAAAATGTCTAATTAGCATTTAACAATGAACATTCAAAATATTTTATAATAAATCGTTGTTAGATGTGAGTTACTGTATTTTGGTTTTGCATAAAGATTTTTCGGATATCTTGGCCGTAGTGTAAGTAAATTTTTCATAACTACTAACATCGCTCATCGCTCATGAAGCTTAAATATTTAAAAAACACATTATAATTATAAAAATTGAAAAACTTACTTATATCTTTTATAATCACATCATACTTTCTTATTAATATCGGTAGGATTATATCATGAAAATTTATTGTCTATATATTAATCATTAAACGTCTTAGGCAGTAGGAAAACAATAAATTGGGACATTTGATCACGAAACATTTATTTTTGTTTCGTTTGAAAGAATTCGTGGGAACGACAGAAAAATAGATTACAATTATACGAAAAAGTAATAAACTGACGCTCGAACTCTCAATTATCAAGGAACATTAAAGACTCAATTAAAAACTATTATAAAGAGATATATAAGAAGAAAAGATAAAAACTTCGATTTAAAATATTCATTAGAAATTTCGGAGAGTAAAGTTTCGTTTATTTCTAAATATTTGTTTAATGTTAGTCACAATTATTCATTTATTTCGTAAATTCAATAATGAAAAAAGCCTTATTCGATGATATTATAAGGTAATTTAAATATATATAAATATTTTTATAAAAATTTAAATTCCTGAAAATGTTAATCGACTAGCTTGGTAGAATTAGATATTTTTAAAATTACAATAAATATTAATTAAATTTTCTATTTAATAATATACACATTAAAAGATATTTATAATTATTTGTAATTCTTATTTTAGTTTCTAACTGCAATATCTCATTACGTGCATGCGAGTTCAGTTTTACTTTTAGAGAATACGCATAAATTTCATTAAGTTGCTAATGATAAATCATAAGATCACGATTTACTACTAAAATAAAAGATACAAATCCTGAAATGATATAGTCACTTAAGTCATCTCTACTGCTTTATTTCATCCGAGGCATTTAACGTTATAAAATATTTGATTATCTTTTCTAATTTTCAAATAATTTTCTTTAAGTAATATCAGTAAATGAATTTTTTAAGATCTTTAAAAAAGCTTGTACAAAATAATAATGTAATGTTACATTTGACATTATGTTATTCATCCATAATAAATGAATTTTTCATAAAATTATTGAAATATTACATACACCTTAAATTGTAATAGTATGACAATATTAATTTACATATTTGCCTCAAATTTACATATTATTTCATAAGATTTATTCTTTACAATTGCACTGTGAATTAAAAAAATTATTTGATGATAAAAAATTTTTTTCTTCTCGTGCTATGTAATACACGTGAACTAGTAACATACTCCTTGGAATACAAAAATAGCCTAAAAATATTTAAAGGAATGGATTTAAAAATTTTTTTATTAACTTTATACTTTTGATAGCTACTTTTTACTTGATAGAGCTTGTATTGTTATTGTGTATTTATTACTAAACTCCTTAACAATAAATTATTCTATTTAAATCGATATTTTCACTTTTTACGTTAAATTTAAAGACTGCCTTCTTAGTTAATAAACCAGCTAATAAAAGTATCGAGTAATTTTATATTTAAAATTTTAAACAATTTTTATTCTGTATTCATTATTTCTCGAGAATCAGAAAAATTCTTTGTATTTTATTAAACTTCTAAGTATTTAATCTTAGGAGATCAGTGACATCAAACATACATTTGAAACCTCGAAAAAATTTTCTGTGAAAGAAATCTATTTTTAAAAAAATAAAATATCTTATTAAAACCATGAAACTTTTCGTATTATTGACTTTTTTGTTTTTCATTAAAAATATGTAATAATCATTACTATGTAAGAACGAATGAACGAATATTGAATGCACATCGTTAAATAGTCATTAAAATAATTTGCAAGATATACTGCGCGAGCTTTACACATAACCGAGTGAATACTTATAGAACTTGAAATACCATAAGCTTTTTTCTTTTTATACGTATTGCTTGAAAGTGCATG